GGGCGATCCCGCCATGGCGTGCAGCTTGCTCTGGGACACGGCGCGGGGCACCGGGATGGCGGACACATAATGGCTGCGGCCCGTCACCGTCACGTTGGCCGTCCCATTCATCCTCGGAGGGTGCGCAGGCTGGGAGGGGAGAGAAATGCAGAGCAAGTTAAGGCAGGGTTGGGGGCAAGCGGGGGGGAGAGGGGCCCTGGGATGTGACTAGATGGGGAGTTTGAGGGGCCCTCTGGCAGTGGGGTACCCAGACTAGGGGGTCGTAGAATCAGAGAACTGGAAGGGACCTCAAGGGATCAAGTCCCGTCCCTGCGCTCTTAAATATCCCCAGGGATGGAGATTCCACAACCCCCCAGGCAACTCATTCCAGTGTTTCACCACCTGGACAGTTCAGAAGTTTTTCCTAATGTCCAACCTAAACCTCCCTCGCTGCAGTTTAAGCCCATTGCTGCTTGTCCTATCTCAGAGGCCAAGGAGAACAATTTTCCTCCCTCCTCCTTGTGACACCCTTTTAGATACCTGAAAATCACTCGCCTGTCCCCTCTCAGCCTTCTCTTTTCCAAACTAAACAAGCCCAATTCCTTCAGTCTAGGCATAAGTCACATTCTTTAGATCTTTAATCATTTTTGTTGTTCTTCTCTGGACCATCTACAGTTTCTCCCCATCTTTCTTGAAATGCGGTGCCCAGAACTGGACACAACACTCCAATTGAGGCCTGATCAGCACAGAGTAGAGCGGAAGAATGACTCCTTGTGTCTTGCTCACCACACTCCTGTTCATGCAGCCCAGAATCATGTTGGCTTTTATTGCAACAGCGTCACACTGTTGACTCAGATTTAGCTTGTGGTCCACTCTGACCCCTGGATCCCCTTCTGCAGTATCCTTCCTAGACAGTCACTTCCATTCTGTATGTGTGAGACTGATTGTTCCTTCCTAAGTGGACTCCTTTGCATTTATCCTTATTCAGTTTCATCCTATTGACCTCAGGCCATTTCTCCAGTTTGTCCAGATCATTTTGAATTATGACCCATCCTCCAAAGCACTTGCAACACCTCCCAGCTTGGGATCATCTGCAAATTTAATGATCGTCCTCTCTATGCCAATATCTAAATCGTTGATGAAGATATTGAACAGAACCAGCCCCAAACCAGACCCCTGTGGAACCCCACTTGTTCTGCCCTTCCAGCAGGCTTGTGAACCATTAATAACGACTCTCTGAGTACTGTTCTCCAGCCAGTTATGCACCCACCTTATAGTAGCCCCATTTAGGTTGTATAAGAAGGACCCGGAGACTGTATCGAATGCTTTACTCAAGTCTAGCTGTACTGTGCCCACTGCTTCTCCCTTAGCCACCACACTTGGATCAGAGGAACTTCTGTGGTTTGTGCTAATGCAGTGGCCTGTAAATTTGCCCATTGGCAGCAGGAGCCTTTGCTTGGCCTCCAGATCCCTGGAAGGGCTGGGTAAGAGACTACCCTGCTCCAGTCCGCACTGCGGGAGGGGATGGGCGCCTGTCAGCCCCGGGTAAGGGAAGGATCCTTCTCCCCAGACTGCATTGTCACAGTTTTGCCTGGACCTCGGGAAACCGACTGCAGAATGGAGGGGCTGTGGTGCCTGCCTGGCTACAGCATAGAGAGCGTGATCAGAGAACAGGCCCCGCTCCAGGGGACCTACAGCTGGCCTGGCCCAGGAGCTCGGCTTCTCTCCTTAGCAAAGAGATGCCCCTGCAGCCTCCTTGCCAGGAATCCACTGCTGCCCTCCGGATCGGATCTCCTGGTGGTACCAGTATCTCCCATCAGCCCTGCCTGCTTCATCACCGTGAGGCCAGACCACTGGGCCTGGTTTAACAGCCCAGCCCAAACAAGTGCAAGAGGGGCTGCCCCTGGGAGGCTTCTGGTATAGACAGAAGCAGCAAGCACGGGACGAGAGGGTTACTTCATGCAGACACATTTCAGATCCAGTGTTCTAGGTGCTTCACGGAACCCCAGGGACCTCAGAGTCACCAAGTCCAACCCCCTGCCCAAAGTAGAACCAACCCAACTCAGTCATCCCAGCCAGGGCTGTGTCAAGGTGGGACTTACACATCTCCAGGGATGGAGATTCCACCACCTCCCGCACATCTCCAGGGATGGAGATTCCACCC